CCCCAGCACCCACTACCACATCCCACAGCTATTCTGTGCATCCTTGGCACTGCTCATGTGTGGGACATACACCAGCGACCAGCGCAGAACACAACTCAGCCCCCAGAAGACACTTTGGGACAGTGATGGAAATCAGATCACCAGCAGGGGGAACGGATGCTTCTGGGAATGTGTGCTGTGGCAGGAGTGAACATGAGGATCCCCTTCAAGAGACCAGCAAGTCTTCACTGTGTTGAGTGCAAATATGCCTGCCCCAGGTTCCAGCCCCTTCCGCAGCCCCCCTCTTCTCTGTCCCCGCCCCGTCTTCCTCCCTCCTGCAGCCCAGTGCACTGTGCTCACCCAGTGGATACTTTTCTGGCATGTGACCTCCCCTCTGCTCCTGAGTCTCTTACTCCCATCATCCAAACCGTCTTTCTGTTCACCCTCTTGGTCCTTGCAGCAGGCTCCAGCCAGGTTGCTTCTTGCTGCACAGACAAGGCTGAAGTGTTCAGACCGACGGTGAGTTGCCATTTGGTGGAGATGCCACAGACAGGAATGTCCGTGTGGGCACCTCCCCCAATTTGGGTCACAGGTTTATGTCCCTCAAAGGTGTGGGGAGGACTTGGGGTCCTAATGATTCATGAAAGTGAGGAGGGTGAGCGAGGAGGTGGCGTCCAGAGCCCAGACTGACAGCACACCTTTGCATCTCAGAGGGTGGTGTGAGGTCTGTGTGAGGGGCCACATGTGGTGGATGCTGGGCTGGAAGCTTGGGATGTGGAGGTGTGCAGAATGTCGGGGCCAGGGGTGGGAAGGGCCAGGCCTAGGTTTAACTGAGAGCAGAACAGCAGATGTTGAGGGTCCTTGTTTCCCAGCAAGACTCTTTCGAATTCCATCTCGGAAGCTCAGGTTTCAAGCAATGCTGCCAATACGTGACCCTGTGTACCAACCCAATTGTGGGGTCTGCAGCACTGACTTCAAGAAAACTCCCTGTAAACAGCACAGTCCCCTGAAGGGGAAGAGAGGCCGGTGGCCTCGGAGTCTTTTCTTTGGGTTTCAGCTGAGAGTACTGTTGGGAAAGCGTTGCCTGCACAATCCTGAGGACACAGGGCTCATCTCCTCTGTGAGCCCATCCCGCACTCTGCCCTCATGGGGATCCATCGCTACTTCAGCCATTTTGAGGGCAGCAGAAAACACGAGTACAACAGAGAGTGGAGAAGGAAGCTTAGAGGCCTACGGGAGGACTGAGGGCACCTCCCTCCCAGGCTTGGGAGTGGAGCTGGTGAAGACTTGCCAGAGGAGTTAGGCCTGAGGTGAGTGCCGAAAGAAGCCACCGAGAAACGGAGAACAGGGAGAGCATTGCTGCGGAAAGCCCAAGAAGATGCTTTGAGTTTCTGCTTCTGAGAGTGAGGAGGCCAGGTTTTCTGTTCTAGCTGTTAGGAGCAGGACGGCCAGTCGTGAGTTCCTGGGACAGGGTAAGGGAAGTGCCTCCCAGGGATGCTCATCCCGGCTTTTGTGAGAAGGAAAGGTGTATGCTTTTAAAAACATTGATGACAATGCAATGCTTATGTTTACGTTGGCTTCATGCTTCTTATGTCCTGCCTTGCTTAAGCTCAAGACAAAAATATTTCCTCCTATGTGTTTTGAAGGCTTTAAACCTCTGCAGTTTATCCTTAGATCTTTTATTTATTTTTGAGTGAGCATTGGCATGTAACGTGAGATACTGAGGTTTGATGGCTTTCTTTCCCTCATAGAGAAGCTCTTTTTCCCAGCACCAATAGCTAATTATCCATTAATTAAATGATCTCAGAGTTTTCCCCCCAAACCAGCTTACGCTATTTGTGTAGGAATGTTCCTGAGCTCTCTGTTTTGGTCTTTGGTTCATATATCTGTTCTTATCGTCACACCACGCTGTCATAGTTACCAGTCAAGGGGCTTGGTGATGTCCATTCTCCATCTTTGTTTTTCTCCAAGTGGCTTTGGCTGTCCTGTGTCTTTTGATTTCTACTTAAATTTGATAAAAGCTTTTCCTTTTAATCATGACTATGATTCTCCTGTAGTCTATAGGAGAATAGACTTCTTGGCCCATCACACATCAGTCTCCACCGTATATCTGCATTTCTTTACTCCTTTAGATTCCCTCAGCAAAGTTTTGTGATTGTCAGCACACATGTAATTCAATATTGCATCTAAATTCTCAATCCATGTTTAGTTATTTTACCCCCATTGTTAAATTACATGAATAATTTTTCAGTTTAACATTATTTGTTCCTAGTGTATTGATACATAGTGGGTTTTTTTAATATTGGCTTACCATCTTGTGCTGTTGTTAAAATGCTTACTAAATCCAAAAGAAAAATATTTTCTATCCTAAATCACTTAGTATATTTCATATAAACTGTTAAGACTTTGCAAATGCAGACAAGTCTTTGCATCCCCCTTTTTCACTTTATCCATTTTCTTGCTTCCTTCCTTTCTTTGTTTTTCTTTCTTTTCTTCCTTCCTTCCTTTCTTTCTTCCTTTCTTTTTTTCCTTCCTTCCTTCATTCCTCCCTCCTTTCCTTCCTTCCTCCCTCCCTCCCCCTCTCCCTTCCTCTAACCTTTCCTCCTTCCTTCCTCCTTCCTTCCTCCTTCCTTCCTTCCTCCCTCCTTCCTCCCTTCCTCCCTCCATTCCTTCCTCTCTCCCTCCCTTCCTCCCTCCATTCCTTCCTCTCTCCCTCCCTTTCTCCCTTCATCCCTCCTTTTCTTCCTTCCTCCCTCCTTCCTTCCTTCCTCCCTTCCTCCTTCCTCCCTTCCTGCCTTTCTCCCTCCCTACCTCCAACCTTCCTTCATCCCTCCTTTCCAACCTTCCTCCATCCCTTCCATCCTTCCTTCCTCACTCCGCCCTCCTTCCTTCCTCC